TTCTTTGTACTGAAACAAACAAATATAGTTTTATACTTTATGAAGTTTTACCAAAAGAAAGTTTCTTAAAGACGCGACAGAGAGAAAAAGGAATATTTTATTCGAAGATGAACCAATAGTATAAACTAGTAGTATGTAATATTACACATATGTTGGTGATCGCATTTATCTATGGGCACATGATATATATTTTAATTACGCCATTCATATTATATAAAATAATTTTATAAAAATTGAAATTTTTGAGGGGGGGAAATTATTTACTTTATAAGAATAACTAAAAATTATAATATATTTATTATTATATCAAAATTAGGTAGGGGGAAATTTGTTAAACAGATGATTAAATTGGTTCGGCCTTATCACCAGATAAAAACTATGAAATCTCGAGACTATGACGCGTGTCATAATCTCAAAGTTTAGCACTTTTTTTATATGAAATATTATAAAGCATGATTGTTGGTAATCTGGTGTGACAAATATCTGTATTAAGTCAGTTGTGTAATTGATCAACTGATAAGTCAGAACAATCTATATAATGATCAATTTCAATATATATACTATATACAAAATTTTCACAAATCCTTTCTCTTTCTGAACTTATCTGAACTAAAAAAATGTCTGCAATACAAACTCTCAGAACACTAATTAATGACCTTAGTTTCACTGAAGAGGAAAAAGATTCTTTAAGAAAATATTTTATTGGAAATGAAAAATGACAAAATGATGCATTGACTTTCCTTCCTGACTACACAACAAATGAAGTAAAGCTTGTATTCTTAAGATCTCTAATCTCTACGCCTGATATGTTTTCTCACAGAGTTTTAATTAAAATATAAAATAATGTGCTTAATCTCGTTCTATCTGCCATATTCGCTAACAATACTGAATACTTACTTACCATAGATCACTGACTAAACTACCCCAGGTTTTTTACAAATCTACCCCCAATTTTGTAAAGTACCCGGGTAGTTTAATTAGGGTATTTTAATAGGAGGGGGTTTTTTAATCAGAATATATGTAATATGTAGATTAATATATATAATATACTGTATATTATAAGTACTATTAAATTTTTCGCGTATTTTTTATCGCATTTCACTTGTATTGTATTTCACAATTTTTTTTTTAAAAAAATAGTCATTAAAGAAAACCAAAAGTCTAAACGTTTTAGAATTACTTTAAAAAAAAGACAACAGTAGTATGTACGTGAGAAGTTAATAGTTTTGCATTATTTACAATGTTCAAATAATGTTTGTACAATGGCAAAACATTTTGGTTTAAAACCAAGCCAAGTTTGTGATTAGAGAAAAAAAAAAGACCAACTAAAGTCTTCAGCATATCATTTATTAAAATTACATACTGGCAGACAACCTTTTTTTCCAGAATTAGAATAAGAATTAGCAGAATAGATTACTAGTTATTGTGTATAAAGTTTACCAGTCACTAAAAACATGGTAACAAAAAAAGCCAAAGAGCTTTTACAAACTGAAACATATTAAGAAAAGTATCCTACAATTTCTTTATTCAAATTTTCACAAAAATGGATGAATTGCTTTATGGTCCATTATAATTTTTTAAATAAGCGAAGAATAATAGTATCTCAATATTTACCAGAGGATTTGCTTGAAAAACAACAGAATTTCTTAAGTTTTGTTCTTTATAGAAGAATATAACATAATTATCCACTTCAATGTATTGCAAATATGGATGAAACTCCTGTTACTTTTGACTTACCTAATTCTTATACTTTAGAAAAGCATGGTTCTAATACTATTAGTATTAAAACTACAGAATATGAAAGAAGTATGTTTACAGTAATGTTAGGTTGTATGGCTGATGTGTCAAAACTATCTCCTGTTATTATTTTTAAATTGAAAAATAAATCTCGAGAAGATTTTTCTAATGATATATTTATTAGAACTAATGTAAAAGGATAGGTTAATAAAGAAGAAATGATCTGGTAGATTAATAATATTTGGCCTAAAAGAACTCCTGATCAATTATTAAATCCTAGATCTCTTCTTGTTTTAGATTCTTTTCGTGATCATTTAGTTGATTCTGTTAAATAAAAATTGGATGAAGTTCATACTAATATTACAGTAATTCCTAGTAGATTAACATCTAGATTGCAACCTCTTAATGTAGCAGTTAATAAAAGTTTTAAATCTAATGTAAGTATCAGTTATTAATTTACTGTTATATTTATTACAATATAAATTAAAAAAATTAAAATTTTCTTTTTTAATATATAAGTTCATGAACTTTATAATGATTGGATAACAAATGAAGTTCATGATCTAATTCCGGCTGGGCATATCAAAAAACTGTCATATTCTTTAGTATCTTCATAGATAAAAGATGCATGGGAGAAGGTTGATTCAAATTTGATTCATAAATTATTTAAATGTTATGAAATTTTAGTTAAAACTGATGACTCGAAAGATGATATGATTTTGATTATGATGATCTTATAGTGAATGAAGATAAAGAAAATGAGTTATCAAATGAAAATGATGAAGAAAATAATAATAATGATGAAATTGAGTATAATAATTGGAATAATCTTTAATTTAACTTAATTTCGTTTATTTTGTATAAAATTATAATTTTCAATAAAGATAATTTGCTTTTGACTTGTTTGATATATATTTTTATTGATAATTTATTAAATTCAGCTAAAAAAAAATCACCCATGTGTACTACCTGGGATTTTTATAAAATTTCAGCCCAAAACCTTGAAGGGTAGTTTACATAGGGGTAGTATAGTCAGTGCTATATGGTATTCTTGTACTTTTTTTCCTTCAAACCTGCCCAAATAACACATTCGCATTATCGTAGAGCAACCTGATGCTGGTAAGTGAGTTGTAATAATTTTAGTCAATACACGCAAATACGTAACCTTTTGCATTATGATATATTTATCAAATACTGACTTAACTTCGCTTTTTATTATCTGTTATTCTTTCTCATTTATATATAATATATACCGAACTAGTTTATGTAAAATTATTTTTCTATGTAGTAAGTATTTCAAAGGTAAATTCTGAACATATACACATTTTTATCAATAATTCCAATCTATACGTAGAGGCAAAATATTCTGTTAGCCAACTTGAAAAGATTTATGACTGAGTTAAAATAATTAACGAAGATACTAAAGTTAAAGAATATCATCAAGCTTACTATATAAAACATCTTCAGATAGATTACGAATGCCTTTTTGCAACTATTCTAAGTGAACGTAATATGGATAGCAGTCCAGTTATTGTGAATTCTCGCCCACTACCAGATGATATGCTGTGGAATAAAATAAAAGGTCTTGGATATGAAGTAACTGTGTATGATCGGAATAATAAAAACAAAGAGAAGTGGGTTAACATGAAACTTGAAATCTCTATAGTGATCTAAACTCTTCTTAAGGTCAAAGATCCTGACGTATTAGTGCTAATAGCCAGTGACAGGGATTATGAACCCATATTAGAAGAAATATTGAAAGCGAGGTGAAAAGTCGAGATACGATTCTGGGCTTCTGTTATGAAATATCATTGTCTTGTAATCATAAGTTATTAAACAGTTAAAGTATTGTACTTGAAATAGCTCCAATTTTTTTTTAGCAATGTCTCATTACCTTAAAACTTCAGATATCACTCGTAAAATAAAGAATTAAAAATAATATACAAACCTCTAGATAATGAATACCAGAATTTTACATTCTGCATCAGACCTGATCTCACCAAGATTAAAAGTATTTTTGAATTGAACGAGAAGATATGAATCGCATTTAGAGAAGTGAAGAAATAATGAAATGTTATACAGAATTGCAATTATTCTATTAGTGATACAAGACAGATGATGGAGCACTGGAGTTATATTTCAATAGTAAGATGCAGTTAGAGAGGGCAGATCGTTAGATGAAGAAAACTTTTCGAATGTTAATTCTTAGAAAATAAAAATTAGGTATTGATATTTGAATTTATATTCATAAAGAATTGTGTTTTAGCAAAATGTAATAATTAAAACTTTAATGCATTAACAAACCTATTTATATGTGTTAAAAATTATGTTCAAAGTCACAACGTGAAAAACTATTCTATTGCTTATTTTTATTTTTATTGCACATTTCTTATAGATGTGCCCGATGTGTCTGATGAGCTTTCAAACTAATTTTAAGGATTAAATGCTTCTGAAAGTATATCATTTATCATAAAGATAGAATTAAATAAGTTCTGATCCACATATTGACTTATTCCACAAATTTTATTTATAAGATTTAAATGATTATCATCTTGTAAAATAAATATCTTCTCCACTATTTGTTGAATTAATCATTTTCTTTAGTTAACTAGTAAATAATAAAAACAATCTATGTGGCTATTATGAAGATTTTGTATCTGTACTTTGCATATATAAATATCAATAAAGTTTTGTTCCATAGTTCAAGCATTTGTTTTTTACATATATATGAGTATGTGGGGTATGTGTAATGCATCATAATATTAGTGAATTTTTTGATCATCACTAACGAAAAAATAAATACTATGCCAAATTTTACTCAAATGTGAATATATGTTCACAGACGCTGATATTATTCTAGTTTTAGAGTATGATAAATTTTTACTCCTATGTTCACAGTTGCCAAAGTTTTTGTTTTAATATTTTCTATACATGTGTGGTTATCATTTTACCGTAAAAATAATGAAAATGCTTACCTAATAAAGTTTATACTTTTTAACTAATATGTAATAGTACATGCGTTCCTGTTATCTATAAATAACCATGTCAATTAATTTTTGGAAGATAAATTTAACCAGATTAGGCCAGAAGACGCTTCACATAATATCTGAATTCTGTACTTTTTTATATGTAGTATTGTAAAGCCTAGTGTTTTTTAGTACAATGCCAAAAGGACTAATCATCTCTTGATTTATAGAAACTCGTGAAATAATACGTAGTATTACATTTGATTATTTTACTGATTTTCTCATATGTTATTTGGGTTGTGCAATAAATTTTATCTATTATTAAATGATTTTCTCTGATTTTTCGTTTTTTTTTCAAGAAATTTTTGGATATAAAATATAAAAATATAAAATTATGTCTTCAGAACCTTCTATACCCTCAAGCATATCATCAAACGAAAAAGTAATTACCTGTACCATGGGAAATGTAATTAAGAATTATGATACTGAGGAACTTATCGATTATTTGTGAAAAAGGACTTAAAACTTAAGGAGTCGCAATTCGAGATATTGTGTGAACAGGAAATTACTGTTTTTCATTTATTGAATTTATCGAAAAACGTTTTCGAGATTTGGGAATACCTATAGGATTAGTAATAATTCTTGCAAAATTTATTGAGGAAATTAAAAAGCAAAAATTGAAAGGTTTTTCGACCTATAAAATCATAGAAGAATTAAAAGTGGTCTTAATAAAATACAAGGTTAATAGCGAAGATATTACCAATATTAAACAATTAAATTCAGGTAAATTGGCTTCTCAGATATAGATTCGGGCAAGTCTAAGATTTAATAATCCATTTTTTCTTTATAAGTCTTCGAAGAAATCAATGATAGTGATGAATTGTTCATTCACTGTATAGAGCATATTATACTAGTTCTAAATAATATAGAGACTATGATTGACATAAACGAAGTAACGTGATACAAATTTATTTTGTGTATATTACATATATCAATAGCTATCATTAGAAGGCTCACAGGTAAAGAAGAAATCTATTTAGCATTACAAAAGGATGTTTCTGAAAAAGAATCATCAGGGTGAGTAAATTATGTAATAAAAATGTTAGAAACTCTCATTTATATTCTTGAAGGAAAATCACGTAATGTAAAAATAGGGTACCTGCAAAATATTAAATAACTTGAAGAAGTCTATCATATGAACAAAAAAAATGGAGTGCTGATCAAGCATTTAAGGAAGATGATTACAACTATCTATATAGGATAATTTCAACAAGTAGTATTAATCTTAAGAAGTTTGGTCAAGGCTATCATATGTGTTACTAATTCTTGTATCTATATATTAGCCACAGAATAGCATTTTCTATTGTTTACCACTCATGGTATATATTATACGAGTAGCATGGAATATAATATAAATCTCTCAAAATTTGCGACCAAAGAAGAAAAAGAAAGTCTATGAAAAAGTGTAAAACGAGTAGTAGGAATAATTGTTGGACTGTTGAGAGATAAGGTAACCGCTCAAAATAGTTCGTCTAATAAGCGAGCCAGAATAGAAAAATTTATTAAAAAATGATGGGTAAAAGTATTTTTCGTAGCTCATAATATGGGCATTCATTTGTTTTATTTGTACATTTTGTTGTACATTTTTTTATGTTTTGATTTATTATAAGTAAGTAGGTCAGAATATAAGAATTTATTTTCTATACTTTATTAATAATAAACAATGTCAAAATGGCATATTAAATCAAACATATTTCTGCAAATTAATCTTTTATATAGTGAGATCATAGTTAATCAATTAATTGAGATTTGCCTTTCAGCTCACATCAATTACCAATTTTTTCAGCTTTACATGTTGATTTTCAAGATTTTCATATCGACTTGATCATCACGGTTTGTAACATGTGAGATGAGAAAACCTTCTCATGTTGATCTATAAAACCATCTGCACACAGCTGAAGCTTAGCCTCTCGAACTTTTCCGCATATACTAAAGCCTTTATTATATTATTAATAACCCGTAGGGTATCCTTGTATTGCATATGGATTGTGATTTTAAGTAGATCTGTTGATGCGATATTTATGTTATTCCAATAGATGAAAAATTCAATTCTTGAACTGCTACAAATTATATAAAAAGAAGGTAAGTTTTTAGTTGAACCTTTTATCCATTCTGCTTAAATTAAACGAAAAGCTCAAGCTAATCACCTTTACATCCATCACATTTATCATCAATCCTATCAACTGAATGATCGAGCATTTCTTACAAAATAAAAATAAGGTATTAAACTCAGGCTTAGAGAAGTCGTGAATGGGAAAATTGCAATGCATTTAAAAGGGCAGTATATATTTTTTTAGTCAGAGTCGCTAAGATATTTTATTGGACTACTAACAAGTTTTTACTATAACAAATTTAATAGCTAAAATAGAAATGCTTTTTCTAGAAGGTACTTTCGAAGCTATATGTTCTATAACAGTGATATACTTATTAATGAAAGGAGCAAGTATACCAGCATACAACCATATTAGGGAGTTAGCAAAACGTGCTATAAATGCTTCCTTGATAAAAATAACTAATTACAAACGAAAAATGAAGGTTTTAGAAGTTCTGCCTTAGGTTAGTGAATTACTTTTCTTAGAAGGATTGTAATTTGTGTATACTAATGAAACTACAGCAAATGCCATGAGTTGTTTGTTATATTACTGCTGAAGGTTAGAGAACGCTAGCCTGGAAGAGCAATGTGATTAGGATTTTTTTCCTCATGATGTCGAGGGTTTCTGCTTCCCTCTAACTATACGTGGCTCTTAGATAAATAGAAATACTCTATTATTCATTGAGGAATATTATAGAATTTGAATATACACGTGCAAATATACAGATTAAAATTTCTAAATTACTATGATCATAATCTTAACTTATTATGTCTGCTGTAGATAGAGATTGGATATAAAAGCATCCTAGGATTGAAAGCTAAAGTTCTAGACGAGTCGAGTTAACTCACAAGTCAGATAAGCTGAGTCGAGTTTAAATCAAGTTGAGTTTATGTTTTTTTGACTCGATGATTTGCGAATCAAGCCAAATTCAAGTCGAGTTAAATATTTAACTTGACTCGATTTAAACTTGACTTGATTCAAGTTGACTCGAGTTAACTTGAATAATAAAAAAAATCGTTCAAAAAGAACAATAACAAATCGTTCGACTTGAAAAATAAAAAAATCGTTCAAGAAGAACGATAACAAATCATTCGACTTAAACGATAAAAAAATCATTCAAGAAGAATAATAACAAATCATTCGACTTGAATGATAAAAAAATCGTTCAAGAAGAATGATAACAAATCGTTCAATTTGAACGATAAAAAAATCGTTTAAGAAGAATGATAACAAATCATTCGCTTCCCTTCTTTTCCTGATCTTTTCATTTTTTTTTTATTATTTTTTTATTTATTTTTTTATTAATTAAATGTTTATAAAAATTTAAAATTAACTCATAATTTGATTTGAACTTGACTCGATTTGAATAAATTCAAGTTAAAATTGAATCGAGTTAAAATCGAGTCGAGTCAAATTGAGTCAAGTTTAAAATTTATATAACTTGAATCAAATCAAATTGAAAAATTTTATAAAATAAATTTGACTCGACTCGACTTGAAAAAAACAAGTCGAATAGAGTTGGTCTTTAAACTCGACTCAACTTGACTCATTCAAAACTCTATTGAAAGTGGTAAAAGAGTTGAATACAGAACAAGAAGCATCTTCTGATCATACAAAAGAGAAGATTGAGCAAAATTTAAAAGCGTTACAATCAAAACTTGGAGTATCAATGACTGATACGGATATATCTCTATATAGTGCTCTCAAAAAAAAATCTAGCAAGCATTGACCTTTCAGATCTTATATGGCAAGACTCGAAGGTGAGTATGGTTATTTCTGATGAATCAACATTGGTGAAAAATTTAGGGCAAAGACAAAAGCAAATTTTTTTAAAACTGCGTGAGAATATGAAATATGATCTTCCTATCTTAGTTGCTTTAAGATGTGACAAATTTGTAAATAATTTCAATAAGACTGATATTCCGGATATGCTCAGGAATATTATACATAATAATGAATGGAAAGAAGGGGTGCCTCAATTGATAGAAAGAACAAATCATATATTAAGTGTCCTGTAAGTATTTTCTTGACTTTGTCATCACTGAATGTGATCATCAATACCTAACTCAAGATCGTATCATTTTTTCACTATATATAGTAGGGAAATATAAAATAATCCTGCGTTTGCGACCAGTGAAATGCATAGTAACTAAAGCAAAAAGACGTATATCACAGATATTATTGTGCCTTTACTTCAGGCTAGCTTGGGGGCTTTACCAAATGGTAATATCTGTTTGAGTATTGTATAATGACAGAGCATTGCAAATAAGACACGAAGAAACTTTGAAAAAAATGAGGAACAGGCTTCATAACCATCTAAATCTCGAATGAAAAAAAGTCTAACGTTATAGCAATGAGGAATGTGAAGGAAAGACCTTTGAGCTTGCTTATGTTAAATCTTCACGAGTTATTTGCACTAATACTAAAAAAACAAGTGATTCAGTGAAATTATGGAGGGAAACCTTAGATGAAGTGAGCTTTATTGATATCGCCTGTAGACCAACAAATAATCAATTTGGCATTGTAGGAATCCAAGTGGCTGATGAAGATTTATATCTAAACGTTTTAATAAAAGATACAAGCAGGATACCAAGATACTTCCATCTAAACTATACAGAAATATCTTTTATAAAAAATACTCTATGGTGTGTAAAACCTCTTATACATTTATTATTGACCTTGAGAAATGTTATGATTGTGAACAAAGGTTTGCTAATGCAGGCATTAGAACAAGCTAGTATACATCTGCTTAGAAATGTCAGACCAAATCCCACTGTTTTTTCATCTCCCCATAAAAAATATTAGAATATAGAAAATTCCATATATTATTAGCATAGAAATGGAAATTAACACCATGTATTTAGGTCAAGTCCTGAACCTTGTATTTAATTTTATAACTAATAATAAAAATTTTCTTGGTAAATTTGCGGGACTGGCAATTTCAAAAAACACGTGATTTATTTCTTTTGAATATAAAGCATAAATATTACTAGGAATAGTATTACGCAATTTTGCGGTAAATGTCACAGAATTGACTTGGTATTTTTTTTCAGATTTACTAGTGAAATATACTATTTGATGCGGTCTTAGATATCCTGGATGTTGAGGCAGTTAGCGCTTCAGCTTGTTCTGCTACATAATTGAAAAAGCTTGAATTATATTTGTCCTATTTATTCGCCTTTTTATCTTTACTAATACTAAATGAAGGCGTGTTTTTTTTAGCTGATGCAGAATTATTTTTGGAGGAATGATTTTCTGTACATTGAATATGAGTATGCCTGTGGTCTCATTTTTGGGTAAAGCAAGTTACTAGTCCTAGAAGACTATCTCAAAGTCTTAGATCTAATGACAGAAATTGGGAAGCGCCTGCTCTGTCAGGTTCGTCAAGATCTTGAGAAAATAATTAATCAGGTTTTATCCAAGAACAAGGTTACAAATACAGCTAAATTCTTCCTATAACTTAGTAGCGGGAATAGTTTTGCCTGCAAGCATGTACAGTGGTTATCAGATATTTATACTCAGTCTCGCTTGCTGTATAGCACTATTTTAACTGGTCAAAGTCTCTCTTTCCGACTGCCTGATCATAGACGAAGGTTTTGGATGTTGTGACGATAAGACTCTAGAAGCCGTCTCACAGCATCTAGAATTGATGACAAGCTCACCCAATGCCTTTTATATAATCTGTGTAGTCTTGCATTTAGGTTAAAAAAGGATCGTAAAGGAGCTTTGCTAAATTATTTGTTATCTATATATACCTTGAAAGGATAATGGTCAGGAAATTCGATTAAACTTAGATCAGAAATACATCGCTCTTAATCAAGTATACCAACTCTTTTCCCTGCTATATTCCATTATAGATACATGCTTGCAGTATAGGAAACTAAGGCTTCGAAAATATATTTTTTAGATCTAATAATTGAAAAAAATGATATAGAATGGTGTACGAGAGAGAAGCAGGATAAGCATAAGACTCTCTTTGCCTGAACATGGTATTTTGTCATAGATGTTTTAACTGGTTGCTCAAAGATGAATGAGAGTATATCAGAGCTGTCGAAGATGACATAGTGTAAGGTAGCAGCAGTATTCTCACTATAAGAGTCAGTTAATTTCAGATATTATATTTCAGAGGAAAAAGTCGCTAAAACTTGTTAGGTGTATATGTATCAGCCTCTGGGTCGACTGGAGCAATATAACTCCAAGCAGGCTTTAGCACTATGCTTATCGCAATTCTAGGTCTGATAGTCAGGCTTTATGCCAGTTAGAAAAGGACTATAATCCACCCCTCTGAGGCTCTGTGACTAGTACATAATTCTGTAACTAGACGTTTTGATTCTCTCTCCATTCACATTCATACTATTCCACTAATGTTCTTCCTATCACAATCTTATACCACTTGCACGACAATGTTTCTATCGTTACCCCCCTATACTGTCATGTAAAATATCATTTACATAAATAGGATTTTTGTGCCTGGCTACACATTATTTTAATCTCTTTCTAAAGCAATTAATCTGCTAGGCGACGCATGCTAGATTCGAGGGTGAAATTACTTCTATATTCTTACTCCCTATACTAATTTACAAAATATCATTTCTATTCTTACTCCCTATACTGATTCATAAAACATCGTTCCTATCCTTATTTCCTATACTGATTCGCAAAACATCATTCTTATCCTTATTCCTTATACTGCTTGGAGTCTTATTTTACTCGCACTAAATTTAGCATTTTCCATAATCTTACCCCTTATATTATCTTGTAAAATATCATCTGTATCTATGGGATTTTTGTGTCTTGCAAAACCTTATCTCAACCCTTCATTACTCCGACAGTCAAGAAAGCATGATTCAGATAAACTAGAATATTATTTCTGAACGAAAGTCTCATTCTGAGAGTCAACATGAGCTTAAAGCCAAATATTAAAACACTAAAAAGAGAGGCAACTTTGGTCCAGAAAACTTCGTCCGCTAACAAGGTCCAGATTCTTTTTTTTGAAGCTAAAATATGTGAATATAATATTCTTTCTGTATCTTTTTCTTTTTAGAATGTTCCTTTTCATGCATAATTCCTATTCTTTGATTTCTAATAATCTGTGCTTTGCTTTTTTAAATTTTTGCAATGCTTCTTGTAATGGCTTGATAAAAGATTTCTTGCAAATCTAGCATTCTGTCACCTCATTGTATGACTTTAGATCACCCAGTGCTAAAATTATTTTAGCTGACGCAGATATATGTTTACCTGCTCCTTCTCGATTTTTGTAATAAATCTTTCAAGCGTATCTAGACTTCTGTATAGATCATAACTCATAATCTCATAATTAAGTGAACTATCCATATAGACAACTTCATAATAATAGTCATACGGCTTGTACATCTGTAATCTTTTTGTGTGGGTTTATTTCGTTTTCTCCTCTAGAGTTAGTTTTTCAGTTAACATTTCTAGATCCCAGAAAATGTGATATAGATTTGATTGCATACATTTATGATTATGAAATGCTTTAACACTCTTATTTTTTATAGTATTTTTGGTTGCTGAGGGCTTTATTCAAACTCTTGCATTTTAGCAGATATTCCTTATACCCTTTTTCTGCTGAATATACATGAAAATAATATCGGCATAGATATTTTTATCTTTTATGCTTGCTATAATTATATACTAGCTTATGTAAATCTTTGATAATACAGTAGTAACTTCTTTCTTCTTCCGTAATTACTAGAAGATTTATTTGCTTATATTCATCCCTCTTCTTTCTGAAACATAATAAAATTCAAGACACTCATTCTGATTGTGCTATTCATGGATACATAGACTGATTTTGGGTTTTTTTCTTTAAACTTTTTAGTTAATAGTAATGATCATCGCAAAACATAAAAGTCTCTGGATCTTCACTGAAAATCATATTATCCAATAATTTGTGGATCCAGATTACCCTGTATTAACATGCATTATTCTCGAGCAATAAAAAATTAGTATGTAGATTCCAGAGGAATTATACCAATCACTTTCACATGAGAAAAAAATAATTGTTTACATTTCACAGTGTGACAGGTGAAATTTTAGATAGATTTAATTTGTAGAATATGAAGTCCATTTTATTGCCATGTAGATCTTTTATGAAGATCAATTTGTCCATTTTACTGCCATTGATCAATTATGTAAATCATTAGATGTCAATTTTATTGCCTTTGATAATCATGTAGATCAATATGTCCATTTAGTTGCCTGCAGATCTGGCAATTTTATTGACACAGCAACTTTATTGCCTAGCAAGATGGCAACTTTATTTCCTTTAATATATTTAGTTTAGTTTATTTTATTAATTATTCAACATATATAAATATCTCTGTATTTTCTTTGAGTCTCAGCACTGACGAGATATTAATCTTTTAGGTACTGAACTTATATATCATATTAATAAAGGAGTATAATTAAACAAGTATAAAACTTATCCTTCGCAATCCTTTGAAACTATTATAAATTATCTGTGACACTTTGCATTCGTGCAATCCCTTTTGTTAGTAAACTTATTAAGTATTTTTACCTTAATTGTGCAATATCTTATCCAGATCTTCGTTTCCAGTATTTTTTTTCAGCTAAGCCACCCACGTGATTCGAAAAAAAAAGAAATAACCTATACGATAATTCAGTCTATGTGAATATGTAATTTTGCTTGATAATTCTTTTACCTTTAATGCTTGACTTTATCGCTCTGATTCAGCAAGCGGTTACCAGAGAGATAATAAGACTCATCATTAGGGAGGTTTTTATTTCATATCTTCCGTCACGATAATAATAACCTCTATCACATTTACTGTATTTATTATATCCAACATATCTATTATATCCATTATCATTCAAATCGTCTGGCATCTCATCTTCAGAATTACTATTGGAATCAGAGTCATTATTACATAAATTGGAGCCACTATCGTGCGTATTATCTGGTCCTAAAGGGACCTCTTCATTCACCTAATTGAAATACACATTATTATTGTCTGAAGTAGTAGTATTCACTTTAGTGGGATTTGTCTCATTGAAAAACATATCTTCATCAAACTACGCCTCTTTCTTAAAATTATCAGAAGAATTAGAGACATTGACTAATGGAATAAGTGCAGTTGATTCTTTTAGAGGCGAGACCTTTAATACATTAATTTGATTGGATCCCTCTAGAATCTTGTTATTTTGTTTTACATTCTCAGAATCATCAGTGAATTCCATATCGGGATTTTTGGTAAAGTGATCCATGACTCTTTGAATTTCTTCGTTGGTAAATTTTGAAATACTGTTTGCACTGTATGATTTAATATATGACCTTATCTAATCTTATTATTTCAGTCAACCTGTAAATCTTCCTAGCTCTTTCGATTTTCTTATACAAAGTGGAACATTTAGTATCAGGATTCTGCGTAAGTATAAAATCATAAATTAGTCCTTTAGCTTTTTTTATGTCTACTCTATCTCTAGCTATGATTTCGTCAATGCTATTATCAAATGCTATAATAAAATTACTCCAGCATAAAATTTCTACCTGGTTAGCTTTTATCAATACATCTTCTGCATCACAAGCTTTTTCATATAAGTTAGCTATATTTTGTAAGATATCTGATTTTCCCTGACCTGAGGTCAGCGAAATTTCAGTCATTTGAAATATAAAGTCATGTGAAGTATCTCTTAGGTGATTTTGGATAGATGTGTTACAGCTGATACTAGTAAATATTTCTTTAATCAAGTTTTCACAAACTGAAGAGTTCTACTCATTCTTTCGCTTGTAGCAGTTAGATGTAATATTCTGAAAAATTGAGGGTATCTCCTGGATAGCTGATTCTCATAAAAGTTTCTTCTCTTTATTGCATTTCCTAATTTCATTGCCAACGCTTTTCTTATACACTTCACCTAAAAAAGCATCTGTTTCCTTTTTCTCTATTGATTTGATGTTATCACTAGTTGCTTCATTTATAAGCTGATCTATTATAGGATCAGAAGTGAAATGACTCTCGGACTTTGCATCTGGCTGTGATACAGTTGTTACCTTTGATATCTCTTTTTCTTTAACAAAGCATGAGTGCTATGGTTGCTGAGGCCTCGTGAGATTGGAGGAATCTAAATCATATCTTAGTTTGACTAATTCAGCTTTAAGTTCAGTATTCTCAGCTGAAATATCTACACTATTTTTCTCTAATTCCTCGATTCTGATCTTATGTTCAGCATTTTCAGCATTGCGCTTCGCATTCTTCTCAATAATCTGCCTCAACTTCGCATTCTCAGCCTCAACCTCAGCAAACTTTAGTAATTTCTCTTTAAGTTCAAGAATCTCAGCATTCTCCTTTCTAAACTCTGCAATCTTAGCTAAGAGCTTGGAATTTAATTCTCTCAATGAATCAATGGATTGCATGTTCAATAATAATTTTTTATATAAGATGAAATGATTTAAAAGTTCGTTAGCATAAATAGAAAATGAGGTAATATTCTCATCGGAATTATTGATATAAAAAATAAATTACAAGATTCAGAAGCATAAAATTTATCATATGATTTAAGCTAAAATGGAAAGACTATCACCATCCCTCTATCAGTTCACAAGTCCCAAGCAGTATTCTGCTTTTATTCTATCTAACTCATCCTCTCGTGGGATAAGATTTTTTTCAAGATATTTGATATATAGTTCACATCAGAGGACTGCAAAAAATTACACAAAGCCTCTAAAAAGGTTGGGTATAATTTTAGTTTAAACGAAGTGAGGGATTAGCTTAAAAGACAGGCTGTTCACCAAATTCATATGCCTCGTTCTAGATTTATTCTGTTTGCTTCCTTTAATAATATACAATTTTTAAATGAAGTGCATCAAGCTGATACTACCCCTATACTTCATGATAAAGTAGGTAATCAGATTTACAAGTATAGGGGCATTATTAAAGATGTTGCAACTAGGTATCGACGTAGTTTACGTTAACTAATAAATCTTTTACACAAATGGCTAAGAATATTCAAAAAATTTATGATGATCCTAAAGAACCTCTTTCTTGGCCAATTTGCTTTAATTCAGATAAGGGGACGGAATATATGGAGAATTGTAAAAGTTTATTGCTTAAACATAATGTAAAAATATAATGTGCCAAAACTAAGAAAGGTAATGCTATAGCTAAATGTAATCATAAAGAATTTGAAAAGCATTTTGGTATTCAGCAAGATACTATGGATTTTCTGTTACCTTTATTAAATCATTCTAGAGATTGGATTAGAAGTCTTCATGTTAATGATGACATATTTAATAATATTCCTACTCAGTTAATAGATATGTCTCCTAATGAAGCAGTAGAAAAAGCACTTAATGGGGAGAAAATAATTGCTAAGTCAGCTGTAAAATATAGAAGACCTATTGGATATGACAAATCTTGTTTATCCTATTATGACTTAGTGAGATATCTTCTTAAACCAGGAGAGTTAAAATATGGCCCTTCTAGAAGACGTGCTACTGATATGAATTGGTCTCCTTAGATTTATTATATTTGCGAATCTTTAGTGCAAAAAAATCAGCCGGTCTTATACTGACTAATAGATGATAAAGGCAATGGCCTAAAAAGATCTTTTGTAAGAGAAGAATTGATAGTTATTTCTGATACTGAGTTGCCTCCCAATGGGTCTTATCAAATTGACAATAAGAAGTCTTCTGCTTCATTATCAATATCTTCTTTTTTAATGAAATAATCTTTAGCTAATTTATAATATAACTTATATAAATCTATGATGGTATTAAAAATCTCTGGATCTCTTTCATACTAAGATTTGTAATTATCTATAATTTGATGATATTTGCACTCATTAGGAAATATTGTTCAAGCTGATTCTACTATATATTGTTCAGGATCTTCTGACTGGTGCAATTTCTTAACTCTTTCTTTATAGTTTTGCATAAATTTTTCGTTCTTGAGTTTTCTATAATAGAGTCCTGCTTTAACTATATTTATTAATGCCTGCTCAACTTGCTGAGAGGTGGGTTTAACTTCTGATAATTGAATTTGTATACTCATGATGAAAGTGTTGCTATTCTGGTGCTTATATTAATACTACAAAATCTTTTATTTAAATTAAAATATTTATTTCTTATTACTATGATAGGCAAATATTCTTGCAACTATTTACTCAGAACTGGAGAAATCTGTAAGCGAACCTGCTATTGGCCTAAAGGATGCTTTGAACATTGGAAAGCTAGGAAGCGTTTTTCTTGTAGGGTTTGTGATAAGCTGAATAGCTCTGAACCTAGGCTTTGTAGAAAGTATGCTAATGGGTATTATGTAATCCAATATATTAATAGGTTTCGGGATAGGGCTTTAAATACTTATCTAGAAGTTTAATATGTTAACCTTCTTTGAAAAATTTTCACCTATCCCTTTTACACCTGAGGTTATATTTTTTTTAACCTTAGATTTGCGTAATACAAATGGCTTCAGAATGGTTTCTTGTATATTAAAATATATTAGTATACTTGAATATGTTCTATAGCTTTTTAACTTTCTTGTACACAAAAAATTTACACCTGAGACATGTTTAGGTGTAAATTTTTTACTTTGCTAGATGATAATGAATCTGCTTTAGAATTAATTCTAGAATATCATAAATAATAGTATACATAGAAGGTTTGTAAAGACTTTATGAGTTTAGCTTTAAACCTTCAATTTTTGCCAATCTCACCTCGTCTTAAACTTAAAACAGAATGATATATTTTTTTGATATATTATTTGGAATTAAAATTGGGCTAGAAAGGCTATAAGAGATGAATTTATTTTTGCTATCTGACGGTATAAATTAATGCCAATTTGATACCAAATATTTGAATAGCAGGAAACGCTCAAATTTTGACTAGAGTTTAAAATTCTATAGTGGATTCTTATAGCTAGAAGGCTTTGAAAATAAAATTAGAACTCTTTTGCAGATTTAACCCTAAAACCCCTATTTTTGGCCTACAGGAAACCTTTGTAATAGAAGGAGGAAACTACTAGAAAAATTAATTTTACTTTATATATTAAATATGATATTTAGGTTAAAATATATTCAATTTAACATTAACTCATTTTTTATTTTTTCAGCTTTTTTCTCTTTTTCTATTGAAAATTTCTATATTTATATTAAATGTGACTTATTTGATGTGTATGGTACTTTTCTATACAAATTCTTTATCAAAGGCTATAAATTTGTGTTAATTTTTACAATTACATAAGGTGATTCAGGAGTAATTGTTTTAAATTATAGATTCTACAAAAAAATGCTAAAAAAAAAATATTAATATGTAAATTTGAAATAAATCAAATGTCATCTCTTATAGTCATTACATAGAAGAGTCTATTTATTCCAAATGATCATTAATTTAGATAGCAAATAATCTTTATATAGACAAAAAGCATTGAGCTAATTTTTTGATCATCAGACTATACTTTTAACTGAGCCATTTTCTCATAGGATTATACCTTAACGTGTCTTATTTTATAGTATATGTAATAAGTGAATATATCTTTAATATTCTCTAAGCATATATCAGAAAGATAATCAAATTCATCATTAATAAGACTTTCCTTTTGTATCTTTTATTACTATGATAATAGCCTCTATCATAATCAACATCATCATCTGATTTCTTATCTTTTTTGTTCTTACTAGAATTAGAAGAAATATCAAAATTTTAGCTTATATCTCTTATATATGCAAGATGAACTACATTCAAATGTTCTTCTGATTGATGTGTCTTACTACCTCAGAGATGTTTTTCTGTGATATCCTAAAACTAGTTATTTGATGTATTCACTTTAAATATTACTTCAAAATGTACGTGATTCTAACGTTAACATCTGTCAGTACTACAAGTAATTGTATACTATCTAATACCATTAATCTTTTTCTGAATTATGACTATAATTATTTTCTAAGTTTATTTTATTTATTTTTCTCACAAAGGAATTTTTTATATACAATTTACTAATACTATAATTAATATATAAAATGAAAAATTAATTTTCGTATAATTAAACTGGTAAAGACTATTTTTAGAT